TTACTCTTCATATACGTGTTTCCTTTGATACTTTAAGAAAATTTTACTTTCAAAATATTTTTCAAATAACCAAAACAGACTGTGTGAACTATATAATAAAAAGTGCATATAAATAATTATAATAACAGCTTATTATATTCAACTTTAAGCTTCGTGATGCAAAGATAATGTTTACTTTTCTTAACAATTCCTTGCGGATGGGTATTGTGAAGAGTTGATGTAAAGTTACGTATGATACTCAACGTGTTAATAAAATTACTGTTACAAACATCACTTGCTGTATACGCATGATAAGAGTATGTTACCGTTTGATCTAAACTATTCTATAATGTATGTTCTGTAATGTATTATGAGTGGCATTCGAAAAAATATTTGCAAATTTATCGTAACAATCGAGCAGTGTATACACACGCGACGAACAATGTTTTTCCACGTATTTTGTACCATTCTGTAATTGATCGTTTACAGTTTAAAAATAAAGCATTAATGTTGGTTGAAGATTCGTATTAATATCGCGAAATTCATTGAATTTTACGACGCAATAGTGTGTCACTGTTCCGTACGCATCTACGAACTAAAGGTACATATGCAAAAAAAAAAACAACAATATGTATACAAAGAGTAAGATTAGCGGTTGTGTAGTATACAAGGATTAATTTTACGATAATGAGAGTGAATCCCTTTGGTATTCATTATTTGTCAAATGTGATATAACACAATACTCGATCTTTTTGTCAAGTCATGACGATCTTACATATGTATGCTGTTGCGAGCTTGATCATATTTTCTTTTCTCTTTTTTTCCTTTTTTATTCGTTTGTATTTGTATAAACTGCGAAATATAAATTGCGAACAATCCATGTTTATGAATTATCGATTTAAATGCATTATATACAAAAGCAGGACTTTTCTTTCCTTTTCCCTTTTTCGACTACCAATGAAAACCTTCAGAATGTTGACAATTTTTATTTAATTGGCTTCAAGAATTCTTAAAGTGTACAAGAAGATGTTTAAAAGTTGTTTAAAAAACATCAACGATGCTTTCTTTTCTAAATGATACGAAATTCCTTTAACTTCCTTAACTCGTTTCCGTTAATTTCCAATCGTCTCATTTCGCTTTTGCCTGCCTCCTTTTACACAAAATTGGACTCGTTATATGTACCAAAATGAGTAGTAATCTTCTGAAACACGTATATAGACGTTTATTAGCTACTGTTATTAACGTATCATTTAGATAATCATTATATGACCTGAAATTGACAAATTTTTTATCATATTTTTCTATCAATCTTCTTGTCTTATATAAAAACTTACTTTTCCTTTGGTACATACAGCACACAATAAGTATACAAATTAATAGTAATTACATGGTCTAGTCTGAAAACAATCTTAAAGTAGAAAGAACGAAAGAAAGAAAGAACGAACGAAAGAAAGAACGAACGAAAGAAAGAACGAACGAAAGAAAGAAAGAACGAAAGAAAGAAAGAAAGAAAGAAAGAAAGAACGAAAGAAAGAAAGAACGAAAGAAAGAAAGAACGAAAGAAAGAAAGAACGAAAGAAAGAACGAAAGAAAGAACGAAAGAAAGAACGAAAGAAAGAACGAAAGAAAGAACGAAAGAAAGAACGAAAGAAAGAACGAAAGAAAGAAAGAACGAAAGAAAGAACGAAAGAAAGAACGAAAGAAAGAAAGAACGAAAGAAAGAAAGAAAGTAAGAAAGTAAGAAAGTAAGAAAGTAAGAAAGAAAGAAAGTAAGAAAGTAAGAAAGAAAGAAAGTAAGAAAGAAAGTAAGAAAGTAAGAAAGAAAGAGAGTATCAAATTTATAAAAGCTTCGCATCAATTTTGGGTAATGTACTCTTTTTAAATATCAATCATTATTGCTTGCATATTATATATAATTTATATCTACATATTCATATTTATATCTATCAATTCTGGTTGACTTTTTGGAAAATTCAAGTTTAACTAATTAGGACAGGAGAAAATGCTCCCCTCTTATTTAATTAATATGTTAATATATCAACATATATGAAAAAATTACTTATCTTTACTTTGTACATGATACATACATACATTGATACAGTAACGCAGTGTTCATTCATTTCGTTTTCAACGAATCGGTAACGTTAACGATTAAATCTTTAGTTTTTAGCGAATTCATCAATTATAATAATTGCAGTATGATAGTTTCGAAGGATGGACTTGTTTATTGTCGCTCCTGTATACGTATCAATATAATATACCTGTATTAGATTAACAATAAAAAGAAGACATGATAACGACGTCTAAATCAGTTGTTACTTAGTTGTACTTCAGATGTGTATTTCATTTAATAAATTTGTACAATACAGCAAAATTAAAAAATTATCAATAGAGAAAATGATCGATTGTTTGTAAAAGTGGTACTGTATATTGTCATTGACTGTATTGCGTACATTTAGTTTCATTTATTTCAACGTTTGACCTAAAAAGAAAAAAAAGACTAACTCACATGATGAATATCAGATTCGAGAATGCATTTCGAGAATTTTTTCGGTACATCTGTCGATGAAAATCACGGCTTCTTATTTTATAGGAAATTAATTATGCGTAATTATATACGTTATTTTGGTTGACGTTACAACCATTATTTACTTGTATTTTCACTTAAACTACATTATTATCGATGCACTTTCTATGCGATTAAAACTTTTAAACTGTTCAACTCTTATCATTGAATCTAAATTGGTATATTAAATTCAACCCGAGTTGCATATATTTGTAATTAATTGGACAAGGTCTAAAAAACATTTGCAAAATATGTACAGCATGATGGTACATCAATGAATAGTTCTTACAATTATAAAACATAAAAAAGAAGAGAAGAGAAGAGAAGAGAGAAGAAAAGAGAGGAGAAAAGAGAAGAGAAGAGAGAAGAGAGAAGAAAAGAGAGGAGAAAAGAGAAGAGAAGAGAGAAGAGAAGAGAAGAGAGAAGAGAAGAGAGAAGAGAAGAGAAGAGAGAAGAGAAGAGAAGAGAAGAGAAGGGAGAAGAGAAGGGAGAAGAGAAGGGAGAAGAGAAGGGAGAAGAGAAGGGAGAAGAGAAGGGAGAAGAGAAGGGAGAAGAGAGAAGAGAAGGGAGAAGAGAGAAGAGAAGGGAGAAGAGAGAAGAGAAGGGAGAAGAGAGAAGGGAGAAGAGAGAAGGGAAGGGAGAAGAGAAGAGAGAAGGGAAGGGAGAAGAGAAGAGAGAAGAGAGAAGAGAAGGGAGAAGAGAGAAGAGAGAGAAGAGAGGAGAGGAGAGAGAGGAGAGAGAGGAGAGAGAGGAGAGAGAGGAGAGAGAGGAGAGAGAGGAGAGAGAGGAGAGAGAGGAGAGAGAGGAGAGAGAGGAGAGGAGAGAGAGGAGAGAGAGGAGAGGAGAGAGAGGAGAGGAGAGAGAGAAGAGAGGAGAGGAGAGAGAGGAGAGGAGAGAGAGAAGAGGAGAGAGAGGAGAGAGAGAAGAGGAGAGAGAGGAGAGAGAGAAGAGGAGAGAGAAGAGGAGAGAGAAGAGAAGAGAAGAGAAAAGAGAAGAGAAAAGAGAAGAGAAGAGAAAAGAGAAGAGAAGAGAAAAGAGAAGAGAAGAGAAAAGAGAAGAGAAGAGAGAAGAGAAGAGAGAAGAGAAGAGAGAAGAGAAGAGAGAAGAGAAGAGAGAAGAGAAGAGAGAAGAGAAGAGAGAAGAGAAGAGAGAAAAGAGAAGAGAGAAAAGAGAAGAGAGGAGAGAAGAGAGAAGAGAGGAGAGAAGAGAGGAGAGAAGAGAAGAGAGAAGAGAGAAAAGAAGAGAGAAGAGAGAAAAGAAGAGAGAAGAGAGAAAAGAAGAGAGAAGAGAGAAAAAAGAGAGAAGAGAAGAGAGAAGAGAAGAAAAGAGAGAAGAGGAGAAGGGAAGACAAGAGAAGAGCGAAAAAGAGAAAAAAGAAAAAAAGAGAGAATAAGGTTTGACATTTGAAAGTTGCATGAAATATGCAATGAACACATTAATCGTTCGATGTAAAAAAAAAAGTTAAATAAGGCCAATAGATTTAAAAGCCGCATTATTCTAATTATCTGCAATATCACAGTACTTGCTGAAACATACAAACACGCGTTTCCAATAGGCACAAGAGCCAATACCAATGAAAATGGCAAGCACAATATCTTTTCTTTAATAAACATACCATATAAGAGAGTATATTGTCTAGCCATCGATCGCATCCTTTCCTTTTTCTCGATAAATCATCACATTTGTAACTATTACATTGAAAAATAGATACGTTTCACCAAAAGTGAACTCTATATTCTTCTTGAAAATTCGTACATATACGTGTATACATGGTATCTTATTTATAGATATAAATTTTCTTACCGCAATTCGCTGGCAATTAGTAAGTAATTTTAAGATATTTTACATCACATTTTGTCAATAAAATTCTACGAGTAATTATAGCCCGTAAGAACATAATAAATGCCCATAAATTTCAATTTTATGATTAGACACGTAATTTCGTATTCTGTAATGTCGTGTAATCCCGTTAATTTCTAATCATTAAAATTTCGCTCTTTGAAAAACAAAAAAGCGTTTTGTCCAACAATTTTTAAATTACAAAATAGTATGAGAAAAAGAATAGTAGAAGAGAAAAAGAGTAAAACATAAGTTAGAAAACAAACGAGTATGATATGTTATCAAAATTAAGGAACAAGCGCGAGGGTTTCCGTTTTTATGTATGACCATTGTCCTTTTTCTCCTCCTCTTATAAAACTTAGTACGGCATATTTTCTTTCGTGCGCGTGTGTGTTCGTTGACGATTTAACAAACATTTTTGCGATTCACATTACCCTAACTATTCGTCGATTCAAAAGAGACTCTTTCGAACAATATTTACAATAATTTTTCCGATCAAACATGCGAAAGATTGCATCATCTTCGACTTGGCTAATGCGAAAACATCTAAACCTATTGTCATACGTAAACAGGACCTTGATTGTCATTATCGTCCAAACTGATTCGACTAGGATACGCAGGACCACCACCATCGTCAAAGAAGCGTCTAAAAGTGAATTCAAAGAAACCGTGAAACGGTTTGCCATTATCTAATAATTCGTCGGACTTGTTGGAATCGGATGATTCCGAGTTCCGTAATTTATCAGGATCCACGGGGTCAAAGTTACTCGTATCAGTAGGGTACTGTATTCGAGGTATGTGAGGTGCTACTTGCCGACGTAATCCCTTCTCAAAGTCAATACTTGCAAAAAACGGATGATTTTTTACTTCGTCTGCGTTCTTACCTAACCGACGATCCGCGCCCACGCATAACTTTAATATCAAATCCATTCCTTCGGCAGAGAGGTTCGCCTGCTTTGGGATGTGCAGAGTCGTTTCCCAATTGATAACCTACGGTACGATCGATATTATGTGGGCGTATCTCTCATTACTGTACAAGTTGTTAATCCTCGTCGGTACGATGATAATAATACAAGTAGAAAAATCTTACCTTGTATTGTGTCTCGGCGGGAGTATTGGCAAGAAACGGTGGAGAACCAACTAACATTTCATACAAAATTACACCAACGCTCCACCAATCACACAACTGAGTATATCCTGTCCTTTGTAGTACCTCTGGTGCGATATAGTTTGGTGTTCCAACCAGCGAATGCGCTAAACATCTTTGATGTTCTCTGTGCCTCCTACGTTCTAAAGGCTTCAATTGAATACAACGGCATTCGTTGTTCCAATCGTCAGCAGGATCCATCGAGTCTTGTTTTCCGTGTCCTGTATGATTACAATTACGCTGCCTATGTTTGTTTTTCTCTGATAATATTATACTATACATATTATTACTCTAACGACACACTTACCGTTTTGTTGATAGTATTTCGAGTTGTGAGTCCAACGAAATCCTGTACATAGTCCAAAATCTGTCAACTTAATATGTCCATCTCGATCGATTAAAATATTGTCTGGTTTAATGTCTCTGTGAATAAAACCCATCTTATGAACACTTTCTACTGCGCACGTCAACTCAGCGATATAAAATCTTGCCAAAGGTTCCTTGAAAATGCCAAATTTGATCAGCAACGACATCAAATCACCACCAGGTATATAATCCATAACGAAATATAAATTGTCCTTATCTTGAAAAGAATAATAAAGCTTTACGACCCATTCATTGTCAGCCTCAGCCAATATATCTCTTTCGGCTTTGACATGGGCAACTTGATTCCGATTCAATACATCCGCTTTTCTTAAGGTTTTCATGGCATAAAATTGATTAGTATCAAGTTTTCTAACCAGCGTTACTTCTCCGAATGCACCGACTCCGATCGGTTTGATTTTCGTAAACATCGATTTGTCCATTTTCGCTCGTTTTAATCGAATGTAATTCGACTCCTTTTGCGATAACATTTTCCTCATTTGACACTGAGCTTCCGCGCTAAGTCCTATCTTGGCCATTTCCGTTTCCAATTGAAGCCGACGATACAATCGTTGCTTATGGGACTTTAATACATTTTCAACGTGCTGCTCCATGAAAAATTTAAACGCCTGCGGAGAATAATTACGAACCTTGCAGTCTCTGCGCTCTTCCTCTTTTTCTTTACTCATATGCTTGCGCTCGGGAATCGGAGATTGATGCTTAATTTTGTAAGACGAAGGTGAAGAACCAGTTCCTCCTCCCTTCGCTCCGTTACTTTCTGCCGCATGATTATTATTGTTATTGTTGTTATTATTGTTACTGTTGCCGTTACCATTACCGCCACCGACACCGACAGCACCGACAACACTGACAACACCGCCACCGCCACCACTGCCACCGCCGCTGCTATTGCTATTGCTACTGGTGTTCCCGTTGTTACCACCGTTGTTATTGGACCTCGGCGGTATAGACGTAGAGGTTACTGGAGGTAACGGCGGCGCTTCCGCGGGATGTTGGCACCCGTCTGCTGGTGAATATTTTCTTTGCAACGGAGGATGTAGACTGATCGGTGACGATCTAAGGTTCGTATTATTTTCCATTGTTGAAATGCCGCTAGAATCCTCGATGGTAGCTGTTCCATAGGGGGGTGGAGGAACCGGATGGTGTATCCCTCGTTGCGCCGCCAGTGCTTGCATGGTAGTCGCGTAACTCGGTGGTTCCGTAGTAGGTACACCTACGGAAACGCCTACGTTCATACTGTTCGTAACGGCTGTGCCAACATTATTCACAGGTGGATATGCAGGAGGTGGTTGTTGCGATGATTGTTGCTGCTGCGAACATTGTTGTTGTTGTTGTTGCGGTTGTTGTTGTTGTGGCTGCTGCTGCTGTGAATGTTGTTGTTGTTGTGGTGGTGGTTGTTGCTGCTGCTGCTGCTGCTGCTTCTGTTGAATAGACGACGCGTAAGATGGTGGTGGAGGTGGTGTGTTACTAGTAGTGGATATCGGTTGTGGAGATGTCGGTGCGATCGCAGTTTGCAACACGGGCTTCTGTACTTGAGTACTTTTGACAGACTGCATAATGATCGGTGGTTGCGTTTTCGCTTGCCTCGCGCCCCACGCTTGCAACGGAGTTGGTCTGGCCATGGATGCTTGCGTGCTCGGAGACATAGCCGAAACGGTTATCGGGCTTGGAGAACCGGCCGACGTTGGACCAGAGTAGATACCAGAGGATGGACTTTTCCGATAATCTTGCTGCGATTGTGTAGGACTCTGTCTGTTTTGCATCGAGGCACTATAAGACGGTGGTTGCACCGGGCCAGCCGACGAAGAAGAAACTATGGGATACGGAGGTGGTGGTTCGACCTGAGTATTGGTATTGTTATTACCTGTCTGATAAATACTGAGAGCCTGTATTTGCTGAGAGAGTTGCTGCTGAACTTGTGGACCATTTTGAACAATCATAGGCTGACGGCAGCTCGTATTATTATTCGAGCTCGCCACCGGACTCGTACCTCTTTGCGGTAAATTGACCGAGGTTGATATTGGCCCAGTATTACCAGGCGTGGTAGGAGGCGGTCGCGTTGGAACAACCGGAGCAGGAGACATGCGTTTCAGCATTTGCTGCATATTCGTAGGTACGTTCGGCTGATTGTACGGAGCGTGAGGCGGTGGTGGCGGCGGCGGCGTTGAACTACATCTAGGAGGCGGGGGTGGTGGTGGTTCTCGTTCTACAAAATTACTTGGTGAATATTGACGGCTCAATTGCGGATGTGGGCTAAGCTCCGTTAAACGCGGACTATCGGATCGTGAGCTTCCTGCTCCACTGTCTAATGCGGGACTTCCTCGTTGTAGACTCAACTCTCTTTCCAAGCTAGGCTTTCTTATCAACTTGCTGTTCAGTTTACTAAGTCCGTTCAAAGATTCCCCCTGAGCCTGTTTCAAGAATTCTATGGCCGTATCTAGACGCCAACCAGCTAACTTCAACGCGCGTAATGCCATTTCCTATACACACATAGTATAGAATTTTATTCTAAACTGTCTTTATTGTAAACACAGTCCTATTAACTAATACTAAGTATGGTAAATGATAACTTAACTAGATAAGAGTATTTATAATGATGCGCATACCTCGGAATACCCCATAGCTAATAGCTGTGCTAATAGCTGTCGCTGATCGGATTTATCGATAGTAGAACCAGAAGCTGCGGAAAGACCACTAAGTCCCGAAGCAGAACTAATACCACTGGTTGTCGACAAAGTAGATATAGTACTAGCAGCACTTGAACCTACTTCGCCTGCTCCTCCAATATTCGCGAATGGTAGCAAAGAATTGCGAATTTCAGCTAATGCCTTTTGATGATATCCAGAGCCACGAGTGCTCGATTTGCTAACTGCGGGTGGATTCATAGTGGCCCATGCTAGGCCCTCTCAGACCTAGCTTTAATCCGGCTGTGACATATATATATATATATACATACATCTAAAACATAATACCAAGTTATTTTCTTACAATGTCGTTAAGTTTCTACAGCATGATCTTACTACATTTAGCTTGCTATATTTAACACTTTTCAAAAATAACAGTGACTACAGCCATATTCATAAATTCTTAGATGCTATCTCGTATATTTATCCAACCATCAGATTAATTACCCAATCTATGGATTAACAGTAACTAACGGTATTGTACAAAAACTATATATATATATGTATATATCAGGATCCCACTAAATGTACTAACGTGATCCTTGTGAAACTGGCTTGATGCTAATAACTTTCAGCAGAGACTCTTCGTACTGTCATTGCAGAGGCAATACTATGCCATGATTCAATATGAAGGAAACAACGCCCATTGCTAATTGATAACTCCTCTAATGAAATACTTCTAATCTGATGTAATAATCAAATAATTTTGACATTAACAAATTGGTTAAACGTCAAAATATATTATTCGTTACTATACAGATCATAAATCTTCTATAATCATCATTTTTTTCATTTGTCCATCGTTCCATACGAAATATATTTTATTTGGTAATTCGCATTACCGAATGCAAACAGAGTCATATGTAATCTCACAAACGGTTTTAAACCGTATCTTCGTACATGATACCGAGATCGACCAAAAATCTAACCTATTCATTAGATGCGTGACGGATTGATCCAGAAAGTCCTTTGTACGTAAAACAAGCTTAGGTAGCACACACTTTTTTAGAAATGGGAAAACATTGGTTAAGAATTTTCTTGAAATAACTTTAACTGAAACAGCAATCAGGAGAGAATGACTTTAAAGCATATTCTATTCTCAAGTTTCCACAGAACCCATGTGACGAGGGTAACGTGCACGTACAACTTTTAATTCACTATTTTCCCTTAAAACTAATTCTAAGATATTCCGATGTACAGTCCTAATTACTACAGCAACAACAAAGAAAGGTACAGCCGTAAATTACTAAAGTAACTGGCAGCCATTTTGAAAGTTCGTGCGCGAAAAAACAAATTGCTCGTTGTAATTAATACGTAGTACATTTCATAAATACTGTTTATTATTTTCCTAAGAAAATAATAGATTCTTTTTCAAAAAGCTACACTCAGAAGAGGTTGATCGTGCAAAAATTTCTTTAACCATTTACAAATACCTCTTCGTGCCAAATGGATCTCAACATTATATCAATCGCTCCTATTTTTCCCTTTAATAGCTACTTTTCACATCTCTAGTCAACCTTTAAATCTGCTTTTAACGTCAGTTAAATCTATTATTCAATTTTTCTTTCGCCCCTTTTCGAACCTTCACTATACCTTTACTACTTTCACGGTCTTCGTAAACAGTTGCATTCAAACAATAAGAAAATCTGCATAAAAGTACCTCTTCGTTAAAACATTTTCAGCTCTCCTTAAAAAATAAATTCTTACTATTCAATCGATAGATTGTTAATATGCTTATCAAATTTATTTTAAACAACGTCATTATTTTAATACATAAATCAAAGATATACAATCATATCAAAGTTATTCTCATTAATCTCACTATTTTTCGGTTATCATACATATATGCAGTCAGTTTATAATTATATCATTTATACACACATTCACGCACACGCGCGCGCGCGTGCACGACGCACGCACACAGTACTACCATGCCATATTTTGCGTAATATTAAAATAAAGTTAGATTAAAATGAGATATGGAGAATAAAATAATATTAATTATCATTATATTTATATACATTTCATCGTAAAACCAATTTTTTCACTATCTATACTTCTCTATAAACATACATATGTTACAAATATCATCTGATGAAATTCAATTAATGAGAATACTTTTGTTACGCTTCTATCAATCTTTATAAGAATACAATGCATTCAATAATGAAATCATAAAATTTATCCATCGCTATATTAACACATACATATGTACGAACAAGGCATTAAACAAGAATCGTGTTACATAAAATTCGTTTATAATGTTTTTACTCATTTTTACTTACTGTGGAATAAATGTCGTATACAACTCTTAAAATCTTACGTTTTATATTAACTAGCTTATATTACAATCATTAAACAAAACTACGATGTTATTCGAGTTTCGAAGACGATTGAAAATATAATTATCGTAAACATAAAATTGCCTATACAAGTTACTTCTTTTTATTACATATTTCTTCCTTTCACACTTCTATTGGCCGCTCTTTGCGCTTTCTTTATAGAATACGTTAGTATTAAAATATAGAGAAAAAATATCTGTCGTTTAATTGAACACCAACGTGGTTGTATGTGTAGAGTAGCAAACAGCTTCTTGTATATTAATTCTAAATTGTATAAAATATAAGTGATACAAACATGCTTAACTTATTGTGCAAATTTTAATTTGTAAAGCAAAAATTATGTCTTCGTAATATTAATACCTACCATTTTAAACGTGTATTTTAAACAAATGTAAATTAATTTTACGATATCGGTATTAATTTATAAGGGGAAATTTTGTTTTCTACCTTTACGTTTATACAATTCTGTAAACAATTAATTTGTACAGCTTGTAATATAAAGAATTACACACCAATAATTATGTAGATAAAGTCAACATGCTGTTAAATGTTAACATGCTGCAGCGTAGGCTATAGTAATAAAATTTTACATACTTATAGTAAAGTACAGTCACAGTTTCATACTACTGTATTTATAAATTAATTTTAGTTTTGAATAACTTTGAAAAGAATCACATTCTTATATAATTCAAGGAATTAAAACAATAAAGATTCATTTACTATTAAACATTTCACTAAAATCCTTCTAAAAAGCGAGAAAAGCATTGTTATGGTGGTTCATGTCATGTGTTTAACCTCTACTGGAGGTATTCCTTTGTTTTCTCGTCAGAAAGGAGAAGGAGATACGGTAAAATTTATATGTTCATAAATAAAACTATAATATAAAATTACAAAATTATGTGCACAAATTTTTTTTCCACAATGTTTGCAGATGACATTTTCTAAAATAGCATCTTTAAATGGAATACATATGTTTCTTAAATCACAAAATGTCAAACTTTCAAACACAAATTCACCTGATACCACAATCATGTGGAAAGAATTTGAACATAGTGTTTCTTTAATAGTTATCGCAAGTGGAATTACCAAATATGTATTAGATAAGTTTCTTGATGCTGTTTTCGGTGCAATGATTTTGTTTGTTGGTATTGAAGAGCTAAAAAGTACAAAAAATATTGAAAAGTTAAAGAAAGATGTACGTTTATGTAGTCCAATTGTTGATAGTTTATTGCAATGTCTCGATATCGGAGATGGAATTTGTTCAAAAACTGATATCATCAATATGACAGAATGCATTATGTGCCAAGAAAATAATTTGCTTCAGGTAATGGGAATTTTTTCAATCTACACATTTTTCATATATTAAGTAATAATATATTTAAGACTTGTTTAGAGGGTTACGTCGAATGTTTGGATTCTATATATGGGTGCATTTTAATACATGGATGTTTAGCAATAGCTACTGAAGGATGGTGGAGCTTAAATCCTATAGAAAGAAAATTATTAATAATAGCTGTTAATAATGAAGATGCTTATACCACACGGGACATTCCAGTGTTTTTACCTTATAAAAGTCCAAATGTAAGTGTCTACAAGAAAAACTTTTTAAATAGAAGTTTCATTTAATTAACATGATTTAGTTAAATTTGCTTAAAAATATAATTTTTAATTATCGCGAGAGACTGCATAGGTGGCTTTTAGACTAGTATCCGTTACATTGGTCAATCAAGTTCAAGTACTAGCATTATGTGGACCAAGTCCAGACTTATCAGAGATTGAAAGGTTTGCTGTACAATGTTGGAAAAATAGTATTGATGCTTTGCACAATGCAGAACAATGCTATCCACGAAATTTACCTGCATCTATAAATCTAGACTCAGAAACACTTGGGTAATAAAAATGGATATATTTTATTTAAATAATATAACCCAGAAAAATGCAGTATTAATATATGTTTGTTAAAGTGTATTTTTTCTTTCCTTTTCTTTTATACATTTAGATTTCTTTTAGCAAATTATAAAGTGCAAAAGTTTATACTTGGCAAAAACACGCAATATGCAAAAAACAGAGTCAGTGGTTCACACAGATTGGATATACTAAGAACTTTTTATCACCAAGCTGTAGAGACTTTCATATTATCTTCTGAATCAGATTATGGAACATGTGATAATTGGAAGTTTATCGGTGCAAAGGAAACATATTTATGTTCAGAATATCACAAATGTTATGCGGTTAAACATGGAGATCATATACTTTGCATTTTATATTCCTCTACAGTTCCTACTCATACAATGAGATTGGTTTGTCAGAAAATATTAAAGACACTACTTGTTGATAAACAAGGTTATTGGTAATACTTTAATGTATCAATTTCTGTTTGTTACATCATTCAGTAATTTTAATTATTAACACTTCTATTTGTACTACATCGGCCTATATTACCTCTTGATGTTCACCACTGCATTTCACTACTTTATTACTTATGAACAAATATTGATAGAATAATGAATCTGTGTAATATAATAATTATATATAAAATAGTACTTAATGTAAGTCAGGGACATTAATTATGAAATCATTTTACTATGCCACAGTATTATTTGATCTAAATCACAGATTAAATTATGCACCACATATTAAATTTGAAATTTAAGTCAGACAGACATTATGAAACAATCGATGACTTTTCTTTATACGCACTTCAAGTGTATCTCCACAATATACATCTATGTTAACTAACGCAACGTGTAACACCTTTGTATCAGTTATTAATTTTTCTAATTTTATCGTGGTGAAATGTTAATGTACTGATAACGTAGTTTATGACCTTTTTTTATGATTCATTTCATATACGTACGCATGCGCGTCTATTGATTCCTTTAACTATAAACTAGCAAGAAAGTACTCGGAAGTACTTACTGGTTAGTACAATTCATACCGATAATGAAAGATACAATATCTCTATGTAGGGATTGGAAAAGGTTATTTCAATCTGTATTTACAACAGTGAAGACAAAATGTATTATTTCATGTTTGATTCTAATGTTTAGAAAATATATAAAAATTTAGCAATACATATCGCGAAGTGTATATCTTTAGTAGAGTAATATTGTTGAAATTAAAATCTGAACATGAACACTACAACAAAAAATTTGGTTGACGCAAAATTATACGATGAAACAGACTTCTACATAGGTTTAGGATTGGTAACTATTTCTAGCTGTTTTATAGGTTAGTCGACATTTAACAATTTTGTTCAGAGATTGGTTGAGAAGCTGTTTACGTTGATTATTGTATACTGTTCCAATTATGTAGGTGCTAGTTTTATTATTAAAAAAAAAGCTCTGATCCGTCTCCAAAAATGCGGTGCATTACGAGCTTCATCTGGAGGGTTTGGATATTTGGAGGAATGGTTATGGTGGGTTGGTCTTCTTTCAAGTACGTAAAACAAAAAATATTTGCGTGTGATGTAGGTATGTGTTCAAAGTATTGCTATTAAAAGTAATATTATTCGCTTCAAAGTGGGTATAGGAGAAGCAACTAATTTTGCTGCTTATACATTTGCACCAGCTTCATTGGTTACCCCATTAGGAGCACTCAGCATATTAGTATCTGCAATCTTAGCATCAAGGTACCTGAATGAAAAACTTAATCTGCTAGGAAAGGTAATATTGTATTTATGGCCATGTAACAGTAGATATAACATTATATGTATGTATATATTGGTTCCAGATTGGTTGTTTTTTGTGCATCTTGGGTTCTACAGTTCTTGTATTTCATTCTCCAAAATCAGAAGAAATCAGTACGTTAAAGGAATTGTTGGATAAAGTTAAACATCCAGGATATATCATTTATGTGTTACTTGTGATAATGTCTACTTTTTTAATCATCTTTTATTTGGGTCCTGCTTATGGAAAACAAAATATCATGGTATATATCTTTCTGTGTTCATCAGTTGGTTCGTTGACCGTTATGAGTTGCAAAGGGCTAGGACTGGCATTGAAGGAAACTATTACCAGTCTTAATAATGGATTCACAAACTGGTTAACTTGGACTTTCTTATTTAGCATTATAATCTGTGTTAGCATACAAATGAACTATTTAAATAGATCACTTGACCTATTTGAAACTACAATTGTGACACCAATTTATTATGTATTTTTTACAACATTAGTAATAATCGCATCTGCCATATTATTCAGAGAATGGGAAAATATGAGCATTGAAGACATTTTAGGTTCATCTTGTGGTTTTCTCACTATAATAATTGCAATATTTCTGCTAAATGCATTTAAGGAAATAGATGGACATTATGAACATATTAGGCATACATTATGGCCTAAAAGGAAAATACTTGCAAACAGTAATAACCAATGGAACAATACAGATGAAGAAAGATTAGTAAAACGATTCGAAACAGAATTAAAGCATACATATGAAGCTGAAGCGTTAACAAGAACTATATAATAGTTGCATTTGAAGTATTTATAACGTGATCAATATCAATAGTATGCATCTAATAAAATATTATAGTTGTAAATACATCATTATCTAATATGTATATCACATTGTATACTTTTCGATGCTCCATATAATATGAACGATATCCCATTGGAAATTTTTTTCCTTTAGGTAAATCTAGCGTTGCCTTCAAAACTTACATGTACAAATTTGTTTTTTTTTTTCATCTCTTTTTGTTATTATAATTTTGTAAAATGATATTTTATTGATATAATTCCTTCATAATTATTTCTTCACTGTATGCGTAATTATAGAAATAAATATAGTATTTGAGCGTAAAAATCAAATTTAACATAACAAATGTTACAAAAGTTATGTAAAAATATTTCGACGAATTGTCAAAAAACAATATTTGCTCTATGACTTAATAAAAGGAATTAATACATTAGTGCAAGTTTGTGTTTATTTTGATAAAATTGTTTGCTATCAAGCTGTATTTTTACCTACTTAATTTATAAATAGAAATTACAACGCATCCCACAATGGCAACGTTTGGAGTGCATCTCACAACCAAATGTGAAAAAAGGCAATAAAACCATAAATAGGTATAACGTATGAATATTCATTCAAAATACAATTCTTAATTCATAAGTCAATTTAATCTACATATACTCGTCGAATCGTCTGACACTACCACCGCGTACAGTTATTATTACAATGGCGTTCAGTTTGCCCGCTTTTTCGTATATCGTGGCTTTAATTGTAGATGCTTTTTTAATATTTTTCGCAATATTTCATGTATGTGCTATTTACAAACTACGATAACTAGCATTAAGATAAAACAATAACTAGAATGTCAATGAGACTGTTCAATGTGAACTATTTTTAACCTCAATGTTTCAAATGTAAAATGATGCGTTTGTAATTAAAGATATTATATTTTTCAGGTTATTGCATTTGATGAATTAAAGACTGGTTATAAAAATCCTATTGAACAATGTAATACTTTAAATTTGGTAAGACTCTGAAATTGGGTTTCTATTTTGACAAAATCAATAATGAAAAGATCAAACAAAATTGCAATGATACTACACTTATATTTCAGCTTGTTATTCCAGAATATGGATTACATATTTTAATCAACGTTTTATTTTTAATAAGTGGACAATGGTTCTCATTGCTCTTAAATATTCCACTAATAGCATATCATTTATGGCAATATTATCATAGGCCTGTAATGTCTAAACCAGGTCTTTATGATCCAACCAGTATAATGAGTGCTCAAGCTCTCAAGCTTCATCAAAGGGAAGGTTGGAGTAAACTTGCATTTTATCTTTTATCTTTCTTCTATTATCTGTATGGGTAAGTGTGAGAAGACTAATAAGTATTTATATTATGATTATGTTTCTATTTAAATATTAAAATATAATGTTTCTATTGAAAAAATATATAGCACTTTATGTTTTCTATTTTGTTTTAGAATGATCAGTTCACTGATTCATTGAGGGAGCCATTCTTTTTCGAGTCTTTGATAACAACTTTTCATGTTATCTTCAATATAATGTACTTCACAAAACTAACATTTCTCATGTGAAATACAGGGGAGGATGTATAATTTGTTAAAATATGTTATAATTTTCTTAAAAATAAAATTTAATACTTAAACAAAATAGTAGAAAAAAATTTTGGAACAGCTGCAAAATTCTTATCAAACGTTTTTACATGTTTATGAAAATTTATGGATTTTAGTTACCAATTTGCCCAATTTTAAACTTAAGTACTGGAAAAAAGTGAAAGTGGTAGGACGGAGACTCCTTACTTCATTTTACGACGTCTACAATGCTGCTCTCTAGTATGTAAATTTGGCTATAACCTCAAATTCTTTTTCTAACCAATGGATGATCGTTGTAACCGTTTCTAATTTATAATATTAAAAATATGCAAAAAATTTATTTATGAAATAAAGCACCGTGTTATTATAGTAATAACATATCGAAAGTGTTTACTACACAAAAATGCCGACTATTAATATCAAGCGTGAATTATTGTTTGAAACCTTAGGCAAAGTATATTGTAAGTTATAAATGTTCAAACAATGACCACTTTAAATAATTACATTATTCCTTCAAAATTATATAATTTCTGACTATACATCTTCACAGAATATTAATTCACTTTAATCAGTGATTTTACATGATGTGAACTCTTTAAACATAATGCATATAAAGTAATCTGTTTTAATAACAATTTTAGCGGATGACGAGTTCCAAGACTTATGCTTCAAATTCGGTTTGGAACTGGACGAAGTGGTATGAAACTCCTAAGTTAGCTAATACCATTGAATGTGCATGAAAAATCATTTCTACTACATCTCCACATCTTAAGCATAATATTAGTTAATTTTTAATCTTTAGACAACAGAGAAACAAATGATAACAAAGGAACAAGGTTTAGATCATAGCGCAGAAGCATCGGAGGAAGTTATATATAAAATTGATATACCAGCAAACAGATATGACTTATTATGCTTAGAAGGTTTAACTCTTGGACTTCTCATATTCTTAAAGCAGTATGTATATTTGGTATATAGTTTCCTTGTTCTTTGCATTATCATTCTTACATTTTTTCATACATACATATTGTACAAGCGTATATGTTAAAAAAATAATGATAAATTACTTTATTAATATATCTGTCCATTCAAGAGAGATTTATTGCCATGCAATATTAGAACATTAGGTGCAAATTTATATAATTTATATATCGTTCCTGTGTTCATTTAAGAAATTTGTTTTAAATAGATTGGATATACCACGATATATGGTAATATTACCAAATACAGGTGCACAAAAGATTATTATGACGAAGCAGGTGAGACCATTCAAATTATTATTGTTGTTGGAATTAGAAAGAGAAGAGGTTGATTTGATAAAAAAGGGTATCTATCATATATTTTAGTGCTTAAAAGTCAGGGGGCATATTGTTGCAGCTGTATTACGTGATGTTACATTGACAAAGGATTCTTACAATAGTTTCATCGATCTCCAGGAAAAATTACATCAGAATATATGTAGAAAACGAACTTTAGTATCGATTGGAACTCATGATTTAGATACTGTAGAAGGTCCATTCTCATATGATGCAAAATCACCAACCAACATTTATTTCAAACCACTTAATCAAGATAAGGAATACACAGGAGAAGAAATTATAAATTTATACACTGTATATGTTTTCAAACTTCAATATACCCCTAATGTAGATTTTTAGAAAGATTTTTATATAGAAGAATTTTTTTCAGAATCATACACAATTAAAGCAGTACCTCCATATTATAAAAGATAGTTCAGTCTATCCTATAGTACAGGACAGAAATGGAATCATTTTATCTCTTCCACCTATTATCAATGGTGATCATTCAAAAATCACACTCAATACAAAAAATATATTAATCGAATGTACTGCAACAGATTTAACAAAGGTAAGCATGAAATTAATATTCTTTGTATATTTAGAGTAGGTGAACTAATGGCGAAGATGGAAAAACTTTTAGGCAAAGGTAGTACTGGATACAGTTGTTTGTGCTTTTAGTCAGTATTGTAAAACAAAATATACAATAGAAATGGTGGAAATCGTGTATCCTAATAAACAAGTATTCCATTATCCCGACTTGAAATATCGAATTGAAGAAATTAATTGTAAAAAAGCAACAAAATATATCGGTGTACAACAAACTGCGGAAGAATTAGCTAATTTGCTTTCTAGAATGTCATTAAAAGCGTCCATTATAAAAGGTAATCAATTGCACGTTGAAGTTCCTCCCACAAGGCACGATGTGATACATGCATGTGACATTTATGAAGATATTGCCATAGCATATGGATATAATAATGTTCAGAAAACTATACCGTACTTATCTACCATCGCGGAAGAGGTAACAATAAATTCTATCGATTCTCAAGCCTAATTTTTAAAAGCTACATAAGAAATAAAATTAGCTACAAGCATTTTCTTTTTACATCTGAAATTTAGTTTCCGCTTAATAAATTGTCCGATCAATTACGCACAGAATTGGCTTGTACTGGATTCACAGAAGCATTCACTTTTTCATTGGTATGTGAAATATTTATCAGCAGTTTTATAAATTGCACGAGTTATAATTATAATTACAATTACAATTAAGTCAAGTCTTTCTGTTTAAAGTGTTCGCGCGAAGATATAGCGGATAAATTGGGCTACGATCTGACAAGTATACCGGCGGTTCATATATCAAATCCTAAAACGTTAGAATTTCAGGTATGTACAAATTTCAGAGATATTAAGTTTCAGATAATAACGAAAGTTCGTATTCTGTTTCATAAGACAATGTTGTAGGTTGCACGTACCACACTTCTACCCGGATTGCTAAAAACACTAGTTGCGAACAAAAAGATGCCCCTTCCATACAAGTTATTCGAAGTTTCCGACGTTATATTAAAAGATAGCAACGTAGAAGTTGGTGCACGTAATAATCGACACATATGCGCTGTATATTGTAATAAATCAGATGGTTTTGAAATAATTCATGGCTTACTAGATAGAATGTTACAAGTTTTGGAAGTGCCATGGAATGCTAACAAAAACGAACATGGATATTATCTTCGTGCTGTCGACGGTAAAGCATCATGTGCAAGAGCATTTTATTATAAAAATTATGTGACAATATAAGAAGACTCAAGTTATATGGTTATATAACTTTTCCAGATCCCACTTTCTTTCCCCATCGTTGCGCGGAAATATTATGTTACGGCAAAGTGATCGGAAAGATGGGAGTTCTACATCCAGATGTAATTTCAAGATTTGATCTAAATATACCGTGTTCTGCATTAGAAATCGATATTGAATCGTTCTTATAGACACCTACAAGTACCACTTGTTGATATATTGAAATAAAAAAAGCATTTTTCCTATTAATATATCTTTGTATTATTCTACAATAAAACTAATTATTTTGTATAAAAGTAATTCTTATTGTTCACTATATATTATGTTATATTACAATATTTCATTTATATATACATACATATATATATTTTTTCTTTCTATTTCATAAATCACGTGCAAAGAAAAAGCGAAAGAATGGAAAGGGAAAGCAAACAAATTATTTTTAGACTATTTTACGTTCTTACCTTTTTCTCTTCTTTTCTATACATTCAATTATAATCATTGGAAAATGGAATTATAAAAAGGAAAAGAAATGAATCCAAATTACCCGCCACAGAAAACGAAAGATGGCACGACGAATCGTATGAAATCATATAGATGGTTGAAGAGGTATCCGGGAGACTCGATGTCGGCCATAGTAGAAATGGCGGGTGTTAGCTTACGTGAATGACGGCGATCGTGCTCGAGATTATTATTGAAAAGCAAGTGTTCTGTGTGTGTTTCGCGACACGGGAACGATACCTTAGTATCATATGATTCATCTGGAAGGTAAAGATGCAGAATGTAGCACAAGGAACGACCTCGGATAGTCAGAAGCACGAGAAATCAGCAAGCGTTCACCACGACATTGGAAAGACGTCGTCGACTCCCCAGTCTTCGAACTCCAGTCCCACGAAATCAGAGACCGAAACCTTCTCCGAGTTGCAGCCACGCTTTATGGCAGACTCGTCGGAGAGCGAAGAGGACAGTGTTCCAGAGGTAAATCAAGTTGAAAGAACATGCCACGTCGTGAATTAGATATTCGTACAATCCGAGAGAGAGGTTGAACGCACGCATGTATGCACGCACACGCATCATACACGCACACGCACACCTCGTCTTTTTTTTTTCGCAATACTCTGCTCTTCTTCTTCTTTCTTACATACAGTTGTTCTCACTCCTACCTGTCATATGTACATATGCACGAATGTGGTTGTGTACACACCACACACGCTCGCGTACATGCATTCATATACATGTGTGGTGTACGTGTATATAAGGAGGATGTGTATGTACGCGCGCGCGGCATGGTGCTGTGTGCGCGCACGCACACGTCAGCTTTTCATGAAATCTACTCGAATAGATGTTAATCTTGTTTGACATTTTCCAATTTCATTGTATATCCCTTTATTATAATCTTACTACAGTGTAAGCAATCCAATGTGATCGAATAAGAAACATTTTAGTTTTCAACGTCAATTCTTGTACCTAATTTTCCATCTTTACATATTTTTGCATTTATGTTGAAATAAAAATTCGAAGAACAAGAAACAGCATTTTTCGCTAGAAGAAGATACACCACCAAGTTATAACCTTTAACGCACATATATCCTTGACGTGTTGAAAAACAATACAGAACTGTCGCACACCGTTTAGTATTTTGTAGTCAAGTAAGTATTTACACGCGGATGTATAACCGAGAACGATGGATAATTTATAAAGGGGAAAAGAGAAAAAAGAAAGGCAATTGTCACCTTTGCTTTCACGAAATTTAAATTCGATTTTGAGCTTGAAATGTTAGTAGTATTACCGCTGAATTAACCACTGCAGAGAAATAAATTTTTTATAGATGTTTCATAAAAGATGAAAGGAAAAGAGAAAAAAAAACAAAACTAGAAGTGAATTCACGTAGGGACGTTATATAATCGAAATGTATGCGTTAATAGCTATTGGAACGTTACAACGTATTGTCTACGCGTAACACAATTATACAGTTTCTCTGTTTTCCAAAGTATACTTGTCATCTTTCTTGGATTTTTTCATCTATCTTACCGATCTATCCTCTTTGAATATTACCGAAAATTTATCGACCGTTGCAATCAATCGATAATAAATCAAACTGTATACAAAGTGGGCGATGTGTTGAACAATTGAAAAAATTGTCCAACATTTATTCTGTTTTATAATTTCACGTAACTTCTATGAACGTATATGTGCAAACGCTGGGTGAAGCACTCTGGTTAGCTGCACTGCATAATCAAGCGCGTGCGCACGCACGTGTACGCCTGTGTATATGTTTATACAAGTAGGCGTTTATGCACGTACATGCATATGTTTTGTGCGTGTACATATACTTTTCACTGCGCTAGTAAATTCGCATGTAGTACATTCGCCCGCGCGAACACTCGCGTGTCCCTGCTATATACGCACTTGTATGTGTGCAGCTATTTTACGTCCGCTTGCACTACGTTGTGCGCCACCCAGCGGAGTTCTCTTCGGCCGTGTTTCTCGCGTATTCGTGCGAGTTCGTGAGCCTGCTTGCCTGCCTGGTCGTTTCTTTACCTTCTCTATACGTCTATAGGTGTATTTCTACCTTTATTGTAACAGTTAATTCTTTCTGTAGTACTGTCAACGAAGTTTCAGCTCTATCCTTGCCTCTGTCTTGCCGGCTGTTCGGTTCTCCTGTGTCGCTCGTGTTCGTGGCGTGGAAATTGTGGAGAGCAGAGCCACCATATTATTCTATATTCTACCAACAGCGTTTCTTACACGGAGTTCTTTTTTTTTTCTACAACTTTTTTCTTTGATTTCGATAAAACAAACGGGACGCGTTAGGTACGCATGCAGAAAGTATAGCAAGGAAGTGTCAGTTTCGTCCTTCTTGGAATGGCTGCACATTGTTCTTATGCCTCTGTTCACTGGCAAGCGGTTTTAATCGCTTAGAGAAGATATAATACTTTCACCTCCCTTCTGATTTGCGTTTATGTCTCATCGGTTTCCATTCGTCGCGCAAGAGGATATGACCTCTACGCGAGATGTACGTACTATGATTTGGATTATCTAGAAATGCTAGCTTGTTTTTAGAAACGTTTTGAAAGATTTGATTTTGAACTTGCTCTATACTGCAAAGATACTGTTCTATTTTTTTTCTTTTCTTTTCCTTCCTTTTTTTTCCGTATTGTACAATTTTTACAATCCGTGTAGCTTATACTTAATTTCTCTTCTCCATTTTTTCATCATGTTTGACTAATATTTTCTCAGCAGTATTCATTTCACCTAATTTTTCACATTGTTCCCTGGATATTTATATATGTACCATTTCTTTTCTCTTTTTCTTTATTTTTCTTTCTTTTTGTTATCCACTTTTTTCCAAGTGGGAGAATGGGGAATTTTGTATTATACGATAACCTCAATTACAACTATTCTTGTTTCTTCGTCAAGCTTTCACCATAAATATTTTACACGTAAAACTAATTTATTATATTTATATAGGTATAGATAAACTGTGCGATTAACCTAGTGATTTCAATAATTTTTAAAGTTTACTCTGGCGATGAACCATAAGAATTAAGTGAAATGCAAATATTAAGAAAAAATGACTTGGCATTATTTTAAATTCATTTTTACAACTTCTTTGTGTCTTTTTGTGTAAAGATTAGAAATGATTTTCTACCCGTATAGTCTATGTACTGTATTTACATGCATAAAATGAACATTGTGTTTTTTGGTAGATTATTATAATAACCATACAACACAAATTAATAGTTCATCCTTTCATGCTTAATTATAAAGTTGAATGCAAAAATAAAAAGAGAAAATAATAAGCAAATAATAATAAAAGCATATGTTGTAAACAAGTGTAGGCAATATCCTTGCTACAACATACTTTCATATCATTTGTTTGTTCATTAAAATGATTAGTATATGGTATAATACATTTATATCGTACAATCAACATTTTGCATATTTGTGTAAGTCTTGATTAAATTGTTCATTAATTATTTACATGCAGTTTAATTTTATCGAAAAAAATATTCTGTTACTTACAGGTGGAGTGTTTTGCAATTGATCAAGTCGAATTAGACGAAGGTCATCATTTAGAGTCGTCCAAGTTCCTGTTAACTTCCGAAGATTCAGAGAGATCTGTGGATCTTGCGACTCAGGCTAAATTAGAGTCTTTTCTGGAAATTGCTAGTATTGGCAAGTTGTCATCAGGTGATGGAAAGCACTTGCCTGATCACGAAGTGCTCCGTCGCATAACATCTAGTGTTACTTGTGCATTAGATGAAGCAGCAGCTGCATTAACACGTATGCGCAGCGATAATCCACGCACACAAAACGAAAAGCGCTCTCTTGTAGAGGCTTGCACTGACGGCGACGTAGGTACTGTTAGGAAATTATTAACAGAAGGACGCAGTGTTCACGAGACTACAGAGGAGGGAGAGAGTTTGCTCTCTCTCGCCTGCTCAGCTGGTTACTACGAACTTGCTCAGGTTTGTTTCAATTTTATTTGACTTTTTATTCATGTTTTAAACACCTGCAGGAGAAAGTGAATATGTATCTATTATTTTCTGAAGTCGTCTTCTGCATATGAATATACACAATATGAAAAATAAAATAAAGGAAAAAGAAACAATTTAATATTTTTTTGTGTTCCATTTGGTATACCATACGGAAAAATAGGAGACATCATTTTGGTATATTTCCTTTATAAACAGGTACTTCTGGCAATGAATGCAAACGTAGAGGATCGTGGGATAAAAGGGGATTGTACCCCTTTGATGGAAGCTGCCAGCGCAGGGCATGTAGATGTTGTAAGCTTGCTTATTGCTCATGGAACTGATGTTAATGCTCAATCTACTTCAGGTACAAAGCATAATTAAATGATACTCGCAGTTGTAATATATATAATTCGCATTGCTGTTTCTGTTAATTATACTCTTGCATTAACACATCGATTCTAAGTAATTCATGTGTTAAAAACTACATAACATATTTTCAGGTAACACACCCCTTATGTATGCCTGTGCGGGTGGTCACGAGGAGGTAGTGCGGGTACTGTTAGAAGCAGGTGCCAATGTGGAAGAGCACAATGAAAATGGTCATACACCTTTAATGGAAGCAGCTAGTGCTGGGCATGTTGCAGTAGCCAAGATCTTGCTGGAAAATGGCGCTGGAATTAATACTCATTCCAATGAATTTAAAGAATCCGCGC